GTTTGATTGTTGATTTTCTGTCATCCATTCATCAAAATTGAACATTTTCTTAGGCGATGAAGTAGTTGTTATCATTCAGATACACAGCAGCTATCGAATTGTGCGCTATTCTCATCGGTTTACCAGCTTTGTATGCTCCTTTATAATCGTGACTGTCGACGTTCGTTTACGAAAGATGCGAAGTTTTGGTTGGCACCGTAAGTTTAAGTCTTTTCGAAGTTTTTACTTCTAATGTTTGAATTTTACTCAAAATTTGGCATTCGAATGGAAGATAATTTCTGTGTGTGATTATTGAGGTAGTAATGAAGTGAATGAATAATACATAAGTGAATACGCGAGTTTATGAAATTTATTGTGTCATTTCTATGCGTTAAATATTAAATGAGAAAATAATTTGAAGTGATGTGAAGAGCTCAACGATAATGAATGAATTCGAGAAGAAAACAGAGCGTGCCCAATTTTTGATCTCGAAAATGAGCCATTTGGTCGTGCTACACGATCGAATTCTACTCTTCAGGTTTTACTGTTTTCGTTACATTTTGTTCCACTCGAACGGATTTTCCATGCATCATATTTTGAATTTTACCTTCTGTTCGGTGATTATTGCATTTCGTTGGTTGAACAATGAGATGTTGGATTTTCTGTATACCTTCATGATTATTAAGTAAATTCTGAAAAATTTATGTATGATTTAAAACGTCTGTTTTTTTAAAGGAAATACGTTGGTGCAGAAAAAGAAAGTCTTGACGGTGCGCCGAACACGATGATTACAGTTGAGCGAACGCGTCTGGTCGAGGATGGCTATCGGCAGTTATCAATGCTATCGTCAAACGCACTCAAAGCAACCATTCGTGTCAAATTCATCAATCAACAGGTCAACTTCAATCACATAAACATCGTTTTCAGATTTGCTCTTCATTCAACTCGAATGAATGATTAATTTCTATCAGTTTTTGATTTCATTTTGCAAACTTAAGGGTTTGGATGAAGCGGGTATTGATCAGGATGGTGTCTTTAAAGAGTTTCTCGAGCTGACACTGAAACGAGTTTTTCATCCGGATCTTAATCTGTTCAAGGTTGGTAGTTTTGCTTGTTTATTGAAAACATCTTATGCATAGTCCAATGTTTGATTCTGTAGAATACAAATTTGACTTTTTTGCGGGCGTTTTCTAAAACTTAAAAACTTCTTATAGACATCACCAAACGGTCAGTTGTTTCCATCGCCAACGTC